TTTTTAAGGCTTAGGGCTTAAATCTCTATTGTAGACTGGGACTAAGGCTTAGGGCTTAAATCTCTATTGTAGACTGGGACTTAACTGTTAAGCCTATCACACAATGCCAGGCAACAGGAACAGGAAATAAAATTTCTGCCGCGTTGGATTGGTTGGAGGAAAATTACCGACGAATCCAACGCGTCAAAAATTCTATCCCTATTGCCTGTTGCCTGGCATTGTGTGATAGGCTTTAGATTGGTCGGAAATTTTCTTCCAACCAATCCAACGCGTCAGAAATTCCATTCCCTATTCCTATTGCCTGTTGCCAGGCATTGTGTGATAGGCTTTAGTCTAAAAAATGTCGGCCCACTTTGATTACGGGAGTCCGGCAGACTCCATTGGAACGGACCATGAATACCGGCCATAATCCCATTTGTTTTGCCCCGATCTCTTCACGGCGTAGCTCAGCTGACGGCGAAGCGTGAGCACACGTGGTTGCGGACTATTTGCCACATCTGTATCACCGCAAGACGTTCAACATGCACAGAAGCGGACCCAACATCCTAATAACAGGTACACAATGGCACATACCCTGCAATTGCTTAATATAAATTCCGAATATCCTTTGAGAATTGTCGAATCGTTTATCAGGCACACCTGGCGTGGGCAAGAGTATGATGTCGAGCACGTTGTCGCAGAGAACCGGACTGGAGTGGCTCGACGTCAGTAAAATCGCCATCGAAAACGAGTGTCTGGAAGAGTACGACGAGGAGTACCAATGCAGCGTGTTGGACGAGGGAAAGGTAATTTTCCTCGTCACGATTGCGAAAGTTACTTTATCAAAGTATCTAGTTGCAGTTACCAAAAAGAGTAACGAATCGTTACTTCACAGTTACTTCCTTGCGATGAAAATAAAAATAATCTGCATTTGAACTGTTAAGTGTCGATAAGGGCGTTTATGTGCAAATGCAGGGCCTAATGCCTGCGATCTATGGGGGGTTTAAAATATACATAAAGTAACTATTAATGTACCTGAATCAAGTCGGTTACATAGTATACAGTTACAGATGGAAAGAGAAAGTAACAAAGTTACCAAAAAAGACAAAAAGTAACGAGTTTCTTCCCATCCCTGCATTTCGTTGTGTCGCCAAGCTTGGTTGCAACGAAACCACGTGGTATTGCACTTTTATTATACGTTAAACATCGTGAAAATGTTGGTGTTAAAATCTTATTCTAGCTACTGCACAGTATAAAAGGTCTTATGAGCGAAGGAGGAAAAATTGTCGACTACCACAGCGCCGATTTCTTCCCCGAGAGGTGGATCGACATCGTGTTCGTGCTCAGAACGGACAACACCATCCTGTACGACCGCCTCAAGGAGAGGGGCTACTGCGGTAAGAAACTGGTGGACAACATAGACTGCGAGATCTTTCAGGTTATTCTTGAGGACGCGCGGGATTACTACAGGGAGGAAATTGTCCACGAGCTGACCAACGACACTCCGGAGCAGATGATGGATAATGTAAATAGAATATGCCAGTGGCTGGAGCAATGGAAAATAGACAATCAGCAAGCGTGAAGTGTGTATCGAGTTCTTTGCGGCGCGCGCTTGACTTTTATCCTTTCACTTAACATTTACATTCATCTTAGATTAAGCTAGTTGAGCTGATACAAACTTGTTTCGATTACAATTGATTTGTTACGAATAAATCAAGCTTGTCGACGCGATATGATTGTATGTGTATATATACACAAGTTCCATTGAGTAAAAAATCTGTACATATGTTAAAATATCTATATATCTATATATAGCACAGAGACATATTTTTTACATTTTATAGCGAGCGAGGATATTAAAATTTGTGTAGAACGTTTGTTTTTTTAAAAAAGCTGCAACGTATTTATTCTACTATACCTAAATCATGCTTCAGCTTCCTTAATCTGTTGTCTACGCTGTCGTAATATTTCATTTTTATTAAAATCTTTGTTGCCGTTTCAATATCTTCTTTACTGAACGCCTCTGCCACTTGCCTGGAAAAAGAATTGAGAACGTACTAAAGATAATTTCAATGTGGACCTGAGGATACAGAGAATGGAAATTTACCTCGACATTGCGTCGAGCAGTTCCTTGGATTCTTTGGCCAGTTTCAAGACCTTATCTCTGTTTTCTATCGCGCTTTCTATCTCCTCGTTACGCTCCATAATCTCCATGAGAAATTCTGGGTTCAAACTGGTAGTACCTTCTGGTATTGATATACCTTTTAATTGTAACATATACAATCCTCTTTTTAATGGATGCGCCAACGTACTGTAAGCCTTATTTACTAGGGACGACAACTTCTCTGAGATTTGCCTTTCTTTCTATCGACAGTTAAAACAAATTTCACTTACAGGCGAGAATGGGAGAATATTCCGTCAGTAAAAAGCTTCCGAGAGAAGATCGTCCAGTGGCTCGGTTCTCGAATTCACTCGAAAGAGATGCGTATGCGGAAATTCTATTCTCACAGAAAAGTCGCAAGTCGATTAGGCTGAAAGCTAAAGGCCGAATCAGACTAGCAATTGACGACTCGAATTGGATTGGGATTGACGATTGTCCTCTAGCCAATAAGAGTCGATTAATTCGCTGATCGTTTTGCTCTCATTGGCCATAGTACAACTGATAGGTCCACTCTGTCGGCCCCTGTATCACATTGCACCGTGTCAATCTGTGTCTCTTGCTGGAAAGCACCTAATACTATGTCTGTACTATGCATTGACTAGAGGACAATCGTCAATCCCAGTCGAATTCGTGCCGACAAAACCGCTAGTCTGATTCGGCTCTGATTCCAATCAACTTTTCTGTAAGAGCAGAATCTTCGCGTACGTTTCTCTTCTGAATAGACACAAGAGTCAGGCCCCAGGTCGTTCCACGTACACCCTTACCTCGGGCTTGTTGCCAAACTTATCGGGGTGCAGCAGTTTCTGCAGCTCCCTATACTTTCTATGGATCTCCTCGTTCGCCACGTTGTAATCCCTCTTGATCCCCATGACATCGAAGTAGTCCAGGTTCTGCGGCAGCTCCTGCAACACCCGGCACCTGGAGCAGAACAGCTCGGACTTGTACGCGTAGTCGCAGTTCCAGCACTTGGGCGGGCTGTCGCTGCAGAATCGCAGCGTCCCCGGGGGTAGGACGGTAGAGTGAACCGTGTTTCTCGACGATGCGTGATGCGAGTACAGCTTACATCGCTGCCTCACCGGGCTCGCTGCCGCCGCGGATCTCCTTATGACTCTCGCCAAGAACATCCTCCCAGAGCGATAACCTGATGTCCAGGAAGGGAACGATTTATGCAAAGTCGCGACGCGTCCGCAGAGGTTTTCTACTCCGCCGCCACTCGAAAGCGGTCTCGTCACTTTTCAAACATGACGGCTGATTGCGCGCAACTCCTTGGAAATCAAACGGATCAACGCTGCGAAGTGACAAACGAGTTTTACCGAGGAAGACCCGAGGGAGGGTCGAAAAGTTTACGCTGTTGAAGAGAAATGTTTGATTCTACATTGCGAGAACCAAGTTCCGTTCATTTTGTGGCTCGCATTGGCACTCTCTCTCCTTTCTACATATTTTCTCTTCGCCTTCACAACACTTCGGAATATTCTGCAAAGCGAGTGCAGAAATGATAAATTTAATACTTTTGCTCGCCAGTAATAGAATAACCAAGACTTCAATTCTCCCTCGACGCAACTGGTATTGTTTTATCAATCTTAAATAATATACGTTTCGACCGTGCGGACTGCGGTCCTCTTCAAGCACAAATCTGTGAAGTATACCAATAGGCTTGTTTTCTGTTCCTACACTAGTGAACTAGTGCAATAAATTGGAGTAAGACAAGCATATTTTTTCTCATTCTAGCTTACTGCACTAGTTCACCAGTGCAGGAACAGAAAACAAACCCAATATGTGGCTATAAGGGCCAGTTTCACAAACGTCGTTTAACCGCTAACCCATGGTTAATTGATCCTCTGTCTCTTCTTGGACAACAGGCCCGGTTTCACCAACGCGAGTTAAGCCCGCTGCAGACGATGCTATTTTTCCTGCTGGATTGCTTGCAATTTAGTAAATTACTAGGAATCCTGAATGCTGAGTGGTGCAACGATAGTAATTTACTAAATCGCAAGCAATCCAGCAGGAAAAATAGCATCGTCTGCAGCGGGCTTTAATCTAATCGGTCGGTTAACTTTCAGGGTGCCAACATAAAACTTCTTTATTAACCTAATTCCTTGGTATCAGTTTTATGTTCGGCTGTTGGCATCCTGAAAGTTAACCGACCGATTAGATTAACTCGCGTTGGTGAAACCGGGCCATAGGAAGTCGACTGAACTCTGGTTAACTGTTAACCGTAGGTTAATGGATTGGCTGTGTTCTCCAGAAGTTAGCGCTTAATAAGCGCTTTATGCTGATTGGATAGATCTAGAAGAATAGCTCTATTTCAGCACAGATCTGAAAGTATAATCCAATGAGCGCAAAGCGCTTAGCAAGCGCTAACTTCTGCTGGACACAGGCATTCTCTGTCTCTTCTTGGACTACAGGCCAGTTTCATAAACATCGGTTAACTGTTAACTAGGGTTCAGTCGACTCCCTATCGTTTTTCATCTTATTATTTAAGAAGAGACAGCGGATCAATTAACCTTTGGTTAGCAGTTAACCGACGTTTGTGAAACTGGCCCTACAAGATAGAGAAAGATAGGAAGTCGACTGAACTCTGGTTAACAGTTAACCGACGTTTGTGAAACTGGACCTAAGCGAGTACAGAAAACTGACAACGCCACGAGGCAGTCGTGCGGTTCGGCGTTAAAATTACGACTCGAGTCCCGAACTCGAGTTGAGACGAAACTCACCTGCGCGTAGCGTGGAGTCGATCAGCTTAGCCTCCGAGAGGCTCGTACGGGGCGACTCCGGTCTCTTCGCTTTATTCTACGCGCGACGAAGTCAGCTGAAGAGAAAAGACGAATGAATCACAACGCTGCGGAGAAGAGCGTGGAGCAAGACAGTGAGAAAAAGAAAACTAAAGATGTTGCGCGGAAATTCTTGAACCTACCGACTGGCCGCAGGACAGAAAATTCGTCTAGTTTCTAGGACATTTCCAGCCAATCGATGCTTGAAAAATCATGCGACGACGGACGCAACATCCTTGCAGAACGCAGGGCTCGATTATCCTAACCTGCCAACCGCACGTTCACAAAACACACGCACACACATTCATTGCGCGTCCCACCAGGCTGCCTCTCCGTGTGTGTACTTGTCTCTTTCCCTCGCGAGGGACTCGCGTATCGCTAGCGCCACACTATGCGCAATTCGTAATGCGCGATTCGTGATTCGCAGAAATTCGCTGGAACATTCGTTATCACTCACTTCGCGATTCGCCGTTCGTAAGTTCCTTCTTTTATTCGTCGTGTTCCGTTCGCGTTTACTCGGACAACCTTTGGCCCGTTGTCGCGGGACCACAGGTCTGCAATATCGGGCAAGTTTCGATATTGGTCCAAAAAAAAAATCACGATTTTCGCCGAAGAAATATACAAGTCACGAATCGCGCATAGTGCGGCGCTTTTTAACAGACACACGAATATTGTTATCGCTGGCGAATACGTGCCGGACCGATCGCTCGATCGCTCGATCGCAGCTGTGTATCCCCAGGACTCCGGGCAGCTCGAAGGTTGGAAGCGTCGAAGCTCGACGGAGCCGCGGTCGAGGCGAGAGCGTGCCGTGACTGGTGACCGAAACCGAGCCTCGTTTCCGATCCCGCGGGTGCGCGACACCCGGTGGAAAGAGAGAGAGAGAGAGAGAGAGAGAGAGTGGCCCGACGATGGTCAACTCACACGTCCCCCTCGTCGGTTGACGTGCGCCATGCGCGACACGACGCGCCGCGTGCACGAGCCTACGTTGTCGTACGCGGCGGTGCTTCGCGACTTCCGCCCCGATAAGGCGTTATCGGGCGCGCGGTGACAGTGGCCCGTTTGTTGGTTAGCTCGAGTCGCGCTTGGCTGGCGAGGGGCGAGCGATTGCCGAGGGAGCGGCGCACGCGGGATTATGAACTCGACCGGGAGTCGCGGTCACGAGGGCGACGCGACTGGCGGCATTTGACGAGAGGGTAACGACGAGTTTTCCCCCGGGGGGGTCTACCGGGTCCAGGCGGCGGGGGACAGGGCGAGGAAGATGGGAGACTATCGGCAACAGTTGGGCTACCTGATCAAGTGGCTGGGCACCTTCGACCTGCAGGCGCCGCACGGCACCGCGGACGAGATCAGCGACGGGGTCGCCCTGGCGGAGGCCCTGGCCAAGATCGCGCCCGAGTGGTTCACGGCGGTGTGGAAGGCGAAGATCAAGACCGACGTGGGCGGCAACTGGCGGCTGCGGGTGAGCAACATGAAGAAGATCGTGGAGGCCGTGATGGAGTACTACGTGGAGTGCCTGAACCAGCAGCTGCCCGGCTACGCCAGGCCGGACGCGGCCAAGATCGGCGGCGAGCACTGCGACAGCGACGAGCTGCACCGGCTGCTGCAGCTGATCCTCGGCTGCGCCGTCAACTGCGACCAGAAGCAGCAGTACATCACCCGGATAATGGGCATGGAGGAGACGGTGCAGCGGGCGATAATGCAGAGCATCCAGGAGCTCAACTTCGAGTCGCTGGTGGACGTGCCGGACGACGCCCTGCAACGGCTCCACGCGGAGCTGCAGGCGATGGCGGCCATGAAGGACCAGCTGGCGCAGCGCTGCTACGAGCTCGACCAGCAGCTCTCGCTGCTGCAGGAGGAGAAGGTCGCGCTGATCGTGGAGAACAAGAAGCTGCAGGAGCGGCTGGACGAGTTCGAGAACCCGGAGGAGTCCGGCTCCATCCTCAAGTATTCCGGCCTGCGCAAGCAGGTGGAGGCGCTCAAAGACGAGCTGTTCAAGATGGAGACGTCGAGGGACGACTACAGGCTCAAGGTGGAGCTGCTGGAGAAGGAGGTGCTGGAGCTGCAGTCGCGCCAGGAGGACCTGCAGAAGGCCGCCGACGAGGCGAACCGCTTGAAGGACGAGGTGGACGCCCTCAAGGAGACGACGGACAAAAACGCCAAGTACGAGATCATGATAGAGTCGTACAAGAAGAAGATGGAGGACATGAGCGACCTTAAGAGGCAGATGAAGATCTTGGAGGATCAGAACGTCGAGCATCTGCAGACCAAGTTGGACTACGAGGAAGAGAAGAAGCGCGCGACGATGCTGCGCAATCATCTGGAGGTCTACAAGCAGCAGCTCACCGAGGCCCATCACAGGCTGGACGAGAAGAGCAACAAGTGCGACCGGCTCGAGTTCGAGGGCAAGAAGATGGAGGCGAGGCTGGGCGCCATGCAGCGGGAGAGGGATCGGCTTGTCATTGAGCGGGACGCCCTGAAGGAGACGAACGAGGAGCTCAAGTGCACGCAGCTGCAGGCCGCCGAGAACATGGCGAAGCCCCCCAGCAGCGCCGACAGCGCCGACAGCGCCGGGGTCTCCGGCACGGAGATGGTCCCGCTCGAGTTCAAGGAGAAAATGCTCTGCCTGCAGCTCGAGAACAAGATGCTGAAGATGAAGCTGACCGGCAGCAACGAGGACAAGCTGCCGAGCGTGCAGGCCTTCCTCGAGGACTCCGAGGAGCGTTTGAACACGCTACGCGGGCAAAATCGCAAGGCGAATCAGAGGATAATGGAGCTGGAGGCCAAACTGGAGGAGGCCATGGGCATTCAGGTGGTCGGCGCTAGCGACAGCAAGAGTGACAACGTGGGCCTGAGTCAGAAGATGTCGCAGCTGCAGGACGAGCTGCGAAAGGCGCAAGCTGACAGGGAACGGCTGGCGCTGCAGCTCGAGGAGCGCGAGGGCACTCTGCAGACGCAGAAGCAGAAGGCCTTTGCACTTCAGGAGAAGCTCTCGCGGAAGGAGTACGAGAACGCCGCGCTCGAGGAGCGCTACAAGAAGTACATCGAGAAGGCCAAGAGCGTCATCAAGAGCCTCGACCCGAAGCAGAGCAGCTCCACGCCGAGCGAGGTCGTCGTGCTGCGCAACCAGCTGGTGGAGCAGCGCAAGGTAATCGAGGACATGGAGCGCTCCATGAAGGAGTCCAGGCTGCTGCGGGAGATGGAGGACAAGCTGATGGTCACCGCCTTCTACAGGCTGGGCCTCAACTGTCACAGAGAAGTGATGGATCAGCGCCTCGCGACGCTCAGTTCGGGACAGGGTCAATCTTTTCTAGCCAGACAGAGGCAACCCTCGACGAGACGTTATCCGCCTTACAACTCGAAATAAGGACTCGCGCATGAGCAAGTTGGCTCGACGCTTAAGTATTATTACAGGACGAAGTGGTAAACGGTCGTTTGAGGTAATGTCGTTGACAACGCGATTGCAAATGTGACGCCGTACACCACGTAGGTCGTCAACTCAATCATGGATTTGTCCAAATGACGATGACTGCCGGTCTAATATTCAGCGTTGTCGACTCGTAACACAACATTGAGGCGTCACATTTTATCTCCCCGTTGCGATTATCACGATTGATTAGATTTCTGTCGATGTAGATACAATTGAGCCAGAGCATCCAGAGCAAAGATAAATTTCTATCGTTTCCTATCATTTACATACAAACAATTTGATATTTTATCAAGTCTTATGGAGCTGATAAGCTGAAACACTGTGCCTACAAATTGTAAGCAAGAGTCCCTCTCATTTTAACCATTTTAATATCCAGCCAATCGTTTTGTCCCTCTGTGTGAAATCGTCAAACGCAAATCTAATTCAATTCTACAATCCGCGTTTTTATCCAAACGATAATTTTCTAGCTATTAGAGATGTGCCAATACATGTGTTCCTATATCTTTAATGAGTATGTAAAAGCAACTAATTGCACGATCATCTCCAACAGCTAGAAAAGTGAACTAAATGTATATTCCCTGTACATTTGAAAATTGTATCTATATCGCAAACGTTTACCATATTTACTTTATCTTAAAGGCTCAAAAAAAAAAGAAAAGTATATTGAGTAAGTTGTAAATAAGATTATACATAGATATCGAAATATTTTGCTTCGTGATAGGCTGCGTATTGTGCTAAGTGTCGATTGGTCTGTAAAATGAACAAATTTTATTCCATATAGCGATATTTTAAATCACACTGACGAAGAACAATTATTGACTCGAAAATATCTACAAATGTAGATGCTTATCTCGATTGATTGATTGGTTGACGCTAAATGTACATTCGCAAACATGATTTGCTTTGCGCAACAACACATGATGAAAGAAATGATTGTAAATATAATGTATAGCGTGCTCTAAATACATTTCTTGGAGAAAAATATACATATAAATTATATAAATATCGCAACGTAAAGAACTTGTTCGTATATTTATATCTTTGTAGCCACGCACGTTAATATTGTGTGACTAACATTATTTATTTGATATATATATATATATATATAATTTATGTTACTGCTATTTTATTTGTTTTACAATTTTATTTTACATTTCTCCAGTGGATATAGCGATGAAGAACAATCGGAAAGTTATGTATGGAATGTACATACAGAGACAAATAAATACATAAATGCCCTCCAGTACTGCATACAAACCGTATTATGGGAGCGAATTTTATCATCTACATATAATTGCGATTAGGATGTTTCTGAAAACATAACTTAATAAAAAAAAATTTATAGAATAATAAACTTAAAGTAAGACCCCTAACTAAAACTAACCATTTAATTATTTCTTCTTATTATTTCTCGTTTTCTAACGTCTTATATAGCTGGAAGTTGCTGTAGTTATCTCACTGATTGTGAGTTCATAGTATTCTAAATGCCTTAGTACAACAAATGTTTGTATAAATTTTAATATTAGTTTTTACATATGATTTTTATTTAATTGCTTGATTAGTTCTTACAATTACAAATTTTTATGAAAATTTATTATCAACTTAGTTTTGTTGACGCGCAAAACATAGTGCAAACAAATTAATTGCTGTAATAAGTTGGTAAATAATAAAACCCGAGACCAAACTAATCAATTATATTACAATGGAAAGTTAACTCGAAGTAAAATACAATGCAAAATATTTTCATCATATTTTACCGATACTTTCATTTTTACTGGAATAGCGTTTATTTATTTTTAGGAACGATTGATAGGTAGACCAGATGTCACTTAATAGTTTGTCGCTTATACTTGGCGCGAGACACTACCGTGTCTCGTAATAGATACATATTTTCAATCATAATATCGCGTCCGCGATATAACTTGTCGAGAAACATGGATACTCTACTGTTACGCAAGATCGGTTTCGTAATCTTATTTCTTTGCAAGTCAGGAAAGCATCTCTGATAATGAAAGATTGGCTGCGTTTGGCAGGAAAAGCTGCTTTGCAACTGTTGTAAAATTCGTGAATCTGATTGGTGTGTTCTCTCAATCTTGTGTGAATTTAAGAGCATACGTCAATCAGATTCATGAATTTTACAACAGTTGCAAAGCAGCTTTTTCTACCGAACGTAGCCATTGCAACCAAAAAATGCCAAAGACTAAATTCAGGCCACAATACATCAGGGAAGTAGAGGTAGGTGTCAGCAATCTAAAAAAAAATGAATAAATTTCCGCCTCGACGAGTTATAGGAAAAGAAATTGAGCTACAAGAACGAAATGGTCTTCTTACTTCCCACATAAGGAAATCGCTAAGTCGAGTCTCTCCAGAAGTACGAATTAATAAATCCGGGTTTGAAGATTTGCAAGTGTACAAACAATCGGTAATCAGGTGTTCATCAACATCTTCGGGCAAGATATCAGAACGCTTTACGCCCTTTGCTATATCCTCAATTGCACGAGTAATGTCATCCCTTGCTACCGATATAAAAAAATATTTAAAAAATTTATATTTTTTCAATTACTATATGGTATATACACATTACGTTTTACCATGTACTATATATGTATGTACAGGGTGTCCTGAAATTCGCGAATCAAAATACCATAGCAAGAATGTCGTCGAAAAAATAAATTATAAAGTTATTTGCCATTTTTCGTTCCGAGCAGTAGTTTTTTTAGATAAAAAGGTTCAAAACAAATTAGTGCACTAACACTATCGACGCGCGACTCACGGACAGGTTTCCGTTGGTATTTTGATTCGCGAATTTGAACCTTTTTATCTAAAAAAAACTACTGCTCGGAAAGAAAAATGACAAATAACTTTTTAATTTATTTTTGCGACGATATTCTTGCTATGGTATTTTGATTCGCGAATTTCAGGACACCCTGTATAATTTCATTTATGCTTGGTCTAAAAAATAAGCAAGTGCAAATATAATTAAATGTGACTTACGATGATCATACTTGCATGTGTAAGGAAAAGCACAATTCAGAATTAATTTCTTATTGTCCCTAGTGATCATAGCAACTTCGGCGATCATCTTGCATAAATCTTTTGGGAGCAAGGACAAATTGCCAATCACGCGAATGCACACTCCACCTTTCTGCAGTTTTGTAACAAAAAGGATTGTAACAAGGTTTTTTATATCTGAACTCGTGCGCAGCCAGTACAGCTATAAAGAACAGGGGGTCCATTCTGTATCTTACACTACAGTAAAAATGCTAAAAGTAAATGATTTGATCCAGTGGCGTAACTACAATGTTGGGGGCCCCCGGGCAAAAATTGAATAGGGCCCTTTATATAGGGGTCAAATTTAGGGATCATTAGAAGGTCAACTTGAAATTTTCAAATGGAAACGAAACCCCTATTTTTGACAACAAAAACGGATAGAACAGAAGATTAAGTCAAGATTTGTCATTGATCTAGCTATCTGTAAGTAATCTATAGCTCACACAAAACTCCCTCCTTTTTTCTTATACGGGCTTGGGACCAATTCTTTCGACCGTAACAGTCCAGAATATTTAGGGGGCCCTTCTAAGCTGGGGCCCCCAGACCGTGCCAGGGCTTCCCGGGTGGTAGTTACGCCACTGATTTGATCTCTTTCTAATGCGGCGTCTACAATGAGACTTTAAGACGTAAGATTTAAGAAATTGATCGCCCGCGGTCGGAATGTGAAGAGAATACTCGATTGTAATTGGTCAATTTTCTAAAAAAACGCTTCGAAGAATGGCGGCAGTTTGACCGCAATCTTGATATGCATGTCAAATGATATTCCCTATATTTTTCATTATAAAAAAGGTAAAGGAACCATAACGAAGATTATTTATAGCTTCTATAAAAAGTGTCTATCATTCGATATTTTATTCGATATACAGATTATTCAGTCCCTGTTAACTACGATACTTTCATAGTTGACGAATGCATTGATATTCGATAGTTTTTCGGGACGTCTCTGCTTACTTTCAAGCGTACCGCGCTCAATGGCGGAGTCACTGCCTCACCGACAGGCTCCCGGATGATGTAATCCGGATGTTCGCCATGTTTTCCCGCGGTCGCGCGAGACGCCGAGATTTTTCCGTGCGGCCCCGCGGAACTCCGTACCAGGAGCCCCGCGGCGGAATCGGGCCGCGCCGCAAAACCCGCGGCCGGCCCCTCGACGGCGACGTCGCGCAGATCTCCGGGTGACGCGGCGGCGGCGACCCGACGTACGCCGGGCGCCGCGCGGCGTCGCTACGCGCCTGCCCGATGGATGGCGCGGCGCTCCGCCATTGGGGGACTACTTCGCGTCGGGTAGGCGAGCCTGCGCGCGTACGCGTCGCAGTCCACAGTCCGAGCTATAGAAAATGAACTCCGCTGTGGTTATCGCGGCGCTACGAGCCGTAAGCCCGATGCTCCCGTCGTCGTCCGTGAGTGAATAGGAGATCGATCGGAACGGCCGGGATGGAGGGCGGCACGTCCAGGAACGAGTTCAGGATCGCACCAGGTAAACGCGGGCGCCGAGCCGCGACGGGTCGAGGCGCGACGCGGCCCGAGCGTGTGCCCGTGCCATCGCGCCGTACGCGCCGCCGTCACTAAAGCGCCCCGCGCGACTCCTCTTTTTCCAGAGCTGTGCTTCCTGATCGTCAAGTTCCTCAAGGCGAGCATCTGTCCGGAGGCGGCGACGGTGAGTACGCCGACGTGTCCCGCGGCCCCGCGGGGCCCGAGCAAGCCGCGGTGGAGCGCGTCACGCGGAGCACTTAACGCGCTTTGTTTCTAGGTGCTGAAGCGGGAATTGGAGCGTACCGAGGTAAGCCGTACGGCGGGCCCCGACACTGTATACAACGCCGAGTCTCGGACCACATGGCTCGCACGTGGTTTCTGCTTGTCAAAACATTAGAATCTCAAGGTCACTGACCTTGCACGGCCCCGCGAGGTATCGCGGATCGCGAAGGCCTCGTGGCGCGCGCGCGCGCGCGCGATCGCGATCGCGTACGATCGCGCCGATCGATCGGCATCAATACCCCCCCCCCCTTCCCCCGATCATCCCCTTTATGGATTCTAGATCGCGCCTCTGTTCGCAGATACTGCCGTCGCGGATCGACTGGGAGGGCAACGTGCACGTTCAGACGTTCGAGGAGCTGGTGAGTACGGCACGCCGACATGGCGATCGGCATGGCGAGGCGAGCGCTCGGCGGCCCCCTCGACTCGCCGTGCGACGCGAGTCCGAGGTCCCGCGGGGGGACCCCGGGCCGCGTCGCAAGGTGGTTCGATGAAATAATGCGCGGAGCCGCGCGTCGAGTACCCCCCCGTCGATCCGCGGGGGGTTGCTCTACCCCCTTTCGACCCCCCACTCTCCTCGCGTGTCGCTCGTCCCTTCTCCCCCACGCCATGACCGCTCGCCACGCTCCCTCCCCCCCCACCGCCGCCGCCGCCGCCGTCCGCCGGCCAATCGCCGCGCGCCTCCGGCCATTTCGCGTGAGCTGATCAATGAGTGTTGACACCCGCGGCCGTCCGCGACGTGCGGTACTGTGCGCGGCCGCCGATTGGCCGCCCGCGGGAACTACTTGACCGTTCGAATTTCTCGCGCGAACGTCCGTCCGAGTCGGACGGTCCTTTCGTTGGGACGATTGGGGAAACGTCGGTTCCCAATTTTGTGCGATACTTTTTTTTCGCGTCACGTGTGATCGGTTTTTTGTTGATTCTTCAGTTTTGCACGTCCGAATTTGATATCTATGCTAGAAAGTTATGCGCAACGTGCGTTTGGGTACTGATGATTCCTTTCTGCGAATATTCGGTTATCCTGACGGTCCTAGAATCTTTTGACGCGGCACCCGATGCGAATGTTTTGTGAATGCTTTGACCGGTTTTTCACGCGTGCGTTTCACGGTGATTCGTTGAGAAAACGCGATGGTGTTTTCAGGAGAAGAAGTATCCCCACATTGGGCCGAATTATTTGTTGCAAATATGTGCCAGAATAGGGCCAGTGTTAGAGAAAGAAGTGCCGCCATGCGTTCGTGGAGTGATATCTCTTCTGGGAGCAGGCAGGCAGTCCCTGCTGCGTACTCACGAAGGTATTAGGGACACAGATGCGTGTCCGTCCTGTTTTCTAATACAATTGATACTTACTGGAGTAATACACGTTCACTTCCGATGCATAAACTTCACGCCCGGCATCTGTAAAATTCTGTTTCCGCAGATCTTGCGTGTCACGCGCACAGCGTTGTCGCTTATTCTGGAAGATTCGGCGGAAAACCTTTCTTGGAACTGGCCGGTAGCCTGTCGGTGCCTAACATAGGTAAGAGAGCTCGGTAGCTTGTAAACGCGACATGCGTTTACCGTGTGACACTTTTTACACTTGGATATTCTTCCGAGGCCTCGTGTCCACTGTGCTTTAATCGAGCCGAGAAATATGTAGCCACTCAACTTGCATCTCTTACAGAAAAGCTGCAGTTGATTGGCTATACATTTCTTGGCTCGAGGTCGCGGACCAATTTCTAGCGTTTCGTGGACACGAAGCTCCATACTTTTGCTTTCCGCGCAAAATGTCGTATAATATCATGCAAATCTTTTTGCCCAACAGTACGTGTACTTCAGGGACGCGAGAATTCTGGCCCTTTGAGTCGGAGGCAGGCGATACCGACAAAGTTCTACAGCAAAATGAAGCTGTATCGGCATACGTTGGGTCACTTGTCCGCGGTATATTGTGTACTGTTTGATCGCACCGGCAAATACATTATAACCGGAGCCGATGATTTGCTCGTCAAGGTCTGGAGTTGCGTTGACGGGCGTTTGCTCGCCACTTTCCGCGGCGCGTCTGCAGAGATTATGGACATTACGGTGAATTTTGATAATACTCTGCTGGCAGCAGGCAGTTTGGATCGAGTAATACGGGTCTGGTGTTTTCAGTCGATGTCACCTGTACGTACCCCGAGACAGCGGGACACGAGAAATAAAATTACTTTTCTGTTTACACTAGAAAACTTGTAGTGTTAAATTTAACTCGACAAGTAGCTACCACTGCTCAAGGTGTTGTTAATTTAATGAAGTTAAAAGAAACCTTGAAATGAGTTGAATGAAAGATGTAGTTGGGTTTTTTCTAACTACAATTTGCGTCAAGATAATAAATTCTAACTACTCGTTGAGTTAAATTTGGCACTACAAGTTCGACAGTGTACGAGAATTGTATTTTACTCACGCAAATTGTGTCTCTTTCAAGGTGGCAGTTTTAACCGCGCATTCAGGCATGATTACGTCCATCAATTTTTGTCCAATAGCGTGTAACGACGTTTACTATTTAGTCTCTACAAGTACTGACGGATCCGTAGCCTTTTGGTCTCATACAAAGAAACCGAACGAGAGAGCGATATTTCAGTGAGTCTGACTAATTTTACACAAATAGCGCAATAATTTTTTATCCTTACACTTATCCCTTTTCTCGTATATTACTTTCAATTTGTATAAACATTTTTACGTAGAATAATCGTGTCGTTTTTAATTTATTATAGAACAAAGCCCATCCAGTACCATGAAAAAATGAGGCCCGGCCAGGCGCAAATGATCTGTGCCTCCTTCAGCCCCGGGGGCGCATTTGTGGCAGCCGGCTCCGCGGATCATAACGTGAGAGTTTACGCGATGTTGGGTGACGAAGGACCTCGCAGAGTCCTCGAGATTGAGGCGCATTCCGACACAGTCGATAGTATTCAATGGGCGCACAGTGGCTTAAAATTCATTTCCGGTTCTAAAGATGGTACTGCGAACGTGTGGCATTTCGAGCAACAGCAATGGGTGCATAAACAGCTGCTCATGACGACAAAGCTCCCTGGGTGTGTTGTCTTCTTATTTGGATTTAATTCTTAAAGAGGATTTTTCATCAATAGATACGATACATTTAATACAATGTACGAAAAAATACTTAATTTTTGTTCTCTTTACAGAGAACTAGAGATGGAGGATGATACGACCAAAAAGGCGAAAGTGACTATGGTTTGTTGGGACGTGAGCGACGAATTTGTTATAACGGCGGTGAACGATCACACGCTGAAAGTGTGGAATGCAAAATCGGGTGACCTGATAAAGGTCCTGCGGGGGCACAAAGACGAGGTTTTCGTGCTGGAGTCGCATCCAATAGATCCTCGAATGATTCTCAGTGCTGGCCACGACGGGCAACTTATTATTTGGGACGTATTGAATACAGAACCGTTGGTGTGCTTTCAAAATTTTGTCGAGGGCCAAGGAAATTGCGCTGTTTTCGATGCGAAATGGTCGCCCGATGGTACGAGGCTCGCCGCGACCGATTCCAACGGGCATCTCTTGATGTACGGATTTGGATGTGGAGTCGAGAAACTGAAAATCGTAAGCTCCCTGTTTATATATTTCACTTTGTATCGTAGCGTACCTAAGCTACTCCCAAATTATTGCCTATTGGATTATTTTCAGGTACCGAAAGAATTATTCTTCCACACGGACTACCGTCCCTTGATAAGAGACGGAAATAACTACGTTCTCGACGAGCAGACACAAACGGCGCCACATTTAATGCCGCCACCATTTTTGGTTGATGTAGATGGAAATCCCTATCCGCCGGCGTTGCAAAGATTGGTGCCGGGTAGAGAAAATTGTAGAGGCGAACAATTGGTACCAAATATCGCGGTTGGTGCAGGCGGTGAGATAACAATTCACGCATACGATTATGTAGAACAATTCTGAATCTACTAGAAAGTTTTTTTTAATGATTTGAGACGAGTATTGCCAGTAGTTTTTCACTAGCAGAAAAAATTACGGTTTTACTTTTGTAATCATTTCTCACTCTTTTGGGATATAAGGAATGCTTTTTAAACAAAATGATTGTTTTAATTAGAATAATATAAATTTCTCTTTAATAGGCATGCAAGAGGTTATAGAAGGTCTTCCAGAACAAGAACCGAGATCGAACATTGATCGATTGATCGAGGCTCTAGCTCAGAGGCAAAATATCAATGCGGATGGAGAAGCGGTCGCTGCCGGTGCCGGCGATGACAGGGAGAACAACGTCGCGGAGCAACCGATCCGTCAAATAGCGAGTCCCCGCGGTAGCAGAGCCGGTTTGAGGAGAGAGGGCAACGTTGAAGGTGTTCGGCAAAGTAGCGGTAACTGGCAAAGGGATAACACCACTCCGTGGAACAAACCCATGCTCGCGCGTCCTCTGAATCCGGCTGTGAAAGAGACTCAGCATAAAACAATGTAAATATTACATGGATTTTTCTTACGATATTATTAGATAAGTAACATATCAGAATGGCGGAATGAATTTCGTAAGGGACTTGTTTCAAATGGATCGATTAATACGTTTGAATACGACGCTAATATTAGTGGTAAGAGAACATATTAATTCTCGAATTTTGTTATCCGTGAAGTCTAGCAATGGCCGATGCGGAGTTGGACAACTGGCGTCGGGAGATGCGACGGCGACCACAGCCTACCTCGAGCACTGCCACTAATCAAGGCAATATAGGAAATAAACTCGTAAACCGCAAGCGTAATAGAACTACTAGGCACGGTTATAGAACTAGGGCAACGCGCGAAGAACAAGAGGACGAATACGAGGTATCTCGCACAGAAACGATATTTAATATCGATAAGTATCAACTCGTAGGCAATCGTGTTTGCCGTGTTGCAACGATGAATAGGAGACTGCGTGGGTTTGTGCGGCTGTGGTCAAGCATCGTGACGATACCTTGCGTTTTTACAGAATCTCGATAATGCTGCGTCGTCAGCGAGTTCAGTCAGTAGCAATAGCAATGATTCCACCGCTCACGAGGAGGATATGTGCTCCGATAGCACCACGGACTCCAGCACCGAGTATTCCGATTGGATCGCGGATCACGGGTTGAGTTTGGAGCCGCCGAAGCGCAGTAAACGGAAACCCGTGAAAAAGCGGTCCGTCACGCCGCCGAGTGAGACGGACAGAAGACGCAGCAGGCGTCCTAAGAAAAAAGTATTGTTATATAGTTACATCGCGACTCTCTTGCGTTATTTTAACTTGACATTTTTCTAAACCCGCCGCCGTTCTCATTCAGCAGGGAGTACAAATAGCTAATGGTATTCGTGAAGTTCCTGAAATTTATCGACCTTCGGAATGGCTCACCGAAGCAATACCGAGGAAAGCCCCTTATTACCCACAGATGGGCGACGAAATAGTATATTTCCGACAAGGTCATAAATTCTATTTAGATGCAATTAGGAATAAAAAGGTTTATGAGCTTAGTCCGCGGTGCGAGCCATGGACCAAGATAAATATTAGAGTATGTTCATTTTATTCTAGGGGTTAAGAAAAAAATGGGGGTTTTTTTTAATTACACGGGGCCAGCATATGCGATATTAAAATCTCAAACGCCGGAGCGATGTGTGTGTAATATATATTACATATTTATACTAATCAGAAACTTTATATTCTAGGCGCAAGAATTTGTGAAAGTAGTGGGTATTAAATATGAAATACGACCGCCTCGTTTGTGCTGTTTGAAATTAGCATTGATGGATGCGGACGGTCGACTCACTGGACAGAATTTCACCATCAAATACCACGATATGGCCGATGTGTTAGATTTCTTGGTCTTGCGCCAAACCTTCGACACGGCGTTGGCACGAAATTGGTCTGAGGGAGATAAATTTCGTTGTATGATCGACGATGGATGGTGGATGGGACAGATTGTCGGAATGGAGCCATTGGACGAAGAGTTTCTGGACTCGTTGTTCATGTGCTTGCGCGTTAGATGGGACAATGGGGAATTTGAACGAATGAGCCCTTGGGATCTCGAACCTGTCGACGAAGACAGTAAGTTGATTTAATTTGATCACCGAAGTAGTTTACATTCAAATTGATTGAGAGAGGACAAATGACAATTTTGATAGTAATATTTTAACGTAAAGAATTATTTAACGCCAGTAATTAATTAAGTAAGTTGATTTAATTTGATTATCGAAGTAGCTTAGTTTCAAATTGATTGAGAGAGGACAAATGACAATTTTGATAGTAATATTTTAACGTAAAGAATTATTTAACGCCAGTAATTAATTAAACAATGTAGAAACATTGCATGACGACCTATGGCTGGCAAATTCTAATTAGTACTAGTACTAGTACATTTTATTGATTCCCCTTGGGATTACAAGGCGTTTTTGAAGGAACGTGCCCAAACCTCTTATAACACCTCTCTCTATATCCACTTCGCTATGTGGCGATCGAACGAAAAACCAACAATGTTTTTGTTTGGTTTTGAACTCGGGTCTACGGATTACCAGACCAGCGCACAATCCTCTGCGCCACGATCGCCACTGGCAAATTCTAATTAAAGAAATCCATTGCGAAAAATATTACCTCAGGGTTTGAACCTGGACTTCCCTACACTCTAGGCGGGCGTCTCAACCAATTCGACCACTGAGGCATGTGGTCGTTTGGTCGAGGTGGTAATATTAATCGCAATAAACAGTACTACTGATGGCTGGATTTGAACTCGGATTTTTTCGCTCATTTATTTACTGAGCAGCGCACATTTATCTGCGTCACACTATATTTTAACATGACTGTCAAGTCGAGAGAGCGGTGTGATTTCTATGCGATATTACTCGTCACTTACGTGCTAATGATTCGTTTAGGAGTCCCGTTGGAACTTGGCGGCGCAGTTCCCGTCTTACCGGAGGAGAGACAGGCGATTCTGTATCAGCCACATGCGGAGGAGTGGCCGATGGGTGACAGAGAAGCGACCTGTCGCCGAATCATACGGGGCCTGGATCAAGTGATGAGCCTCGCGATCGCAGAGCCATTTGTGGTGCCGGTTGATCTCAGTCTTTATCCAACTTACGCCTACATCGTGGAGTATCCGATCGATTTGTCGACCATAAAGGCTCGCTTCGAAAATCATTTCTACAGAAGAATCACGTCGGCGCAATTCGACGTCAGATACTTGGCAACGAATGCCGAACAGTTCAACGAGCCGCACAGTCACATAGTGAAAAAGGCGAGAATAGTCACTGACCTGTGTCTACGTATAATAAAGTAAGATTCATTTTACCATTGTTCCGAAAATCGCGGAGTCTTCCTTCTCGTGCGTTATTTAAATGACACTTCTCGCGTAGGGAAACCACCGATGTAGATGTCCCGGCAGTATATCATCAGTTGAACGATACGTACCACTCTTCCGAATCGGAGATGGACGTAGAGGACAGACCTTCGACGAGTAAACCGAGTTCCACTAGAAATTTACGTTCGCAAGACATTTCGCAAGACTGGAAACTGTCGTGTCGCCACCTGCTCGAGTGCCTGTGGCAGTGCGAGGACTCGATACCTTTCAGGTAAGTCGAGAGAGAGCTCGAGTTTTCGATAGCGAATTCCCGTTTTGTATCTGAACAAGGAATATGAGTGAGGCGACACCGATCGTTTTGCAGGGAACCGGTGGACAGATTGGAGCATCCGGAATATCATCAAATAATAGACACACCGATGGACTTGCGCACCGTCAAGGAGGATTTAGTGGGCGGTAATTACGATACGCCAATAGAATTTGTCAAGGATATGAAGTTGATTTTTACAAACAGTAGGAATTTCAATACCAACAAACGTTCGAGGGTAAGTCGATAATACAACGGTTGTCCGCCTCGTTTCGTAACTCCGCATTATTTCCTTAATATTCTCCTCGTGCAGATATACTCGATGACAATAAGACTGTCTGCTATGTTCGAGGAGCATATGGATAGGATACTTTCAAATTGGAAATCGTCGCGCAGGCGTAACGTTAACAGCCGGGCAACGAAGACGAGAAGCAAGAGGACTCGAAAGAAGAAACCTAATTTAAGTAACGGCACAGGTAAGCGCTCGTTGATGCATCGTGTAAACGTGACACGATTAAGTGCAAATTGTTTTGTGTGCAGGACCTTCCAAATCAAAACATGCTCCTAGCGACGACGACGACGATGACGAGGACAATGCGGACAGTGAGGACGACGACGATGAGGAGTCGGGTAAAGAGCAGAAAAAGAACAGTTTTGACATATGTTTACCTGGTACGCGCGTGTACCTTTTTCCAAATTATCACTCTGCTGGGCGTATGTCGTGGAAGGAATTCGTCAGGTTTTGCAAATATTTTCAAGTGTTTTCGGCCGAGAATTATTTTGCGATTCGCACACTTTGGAATTTTTAAAGAAAAGTATACGCCGTACTTTGATGAGAGTACAAATTGAACCGAAAAAGCAACATCGCGTACAGTATTGGACCACGAAGCTTGGCAAATTCCACACGGTTTATGTCCTATACGGTTATTCCAATTTTCAAAGGACAATCAATGGTAGCATAAATTCAATTAATTGAAATCGTCAGCGCTGATTACAATCTATCACGCTTGTATAATTTTGATCACAGTGAGCCGTAGTTTCTTATGACTAATCTTAATTTTCTTTCTAGGCCCGTCTCGAATGACAAACGGTCACACGAAACGGTCTAATTCCGGCCCGTCCCGGCCAACGTTGAAGCTGCGAATCTGCCGGTCGACCGTAGCGAAGAAGCCGAAGGACAGTGATAGTGACGCTAGTGAGTCCGAGGCAACGTCGGACAGTGATAGCAGTGACAGTGCCCCTGTCCGAAGAACTAGAGCGAGGACAGCGATGCCCAGTGTTAGTGCCGATAGCGATTCCGGGGACGATTACACGCCCGGCGGTCGCGGCAAACAGGTTCGCAAGAATCGCGGTAGGAATATTAAGAACGGTAAGCAGTCCAAACCTAAAGTGAAATCGAACGTTATCGCGGACGACGAGGACGACGACGACGATGAGTACGTTGCGGAGAACAAGGCGAACGAGGACAACGAAGAGGACGAGGAGGAATTCCTCGCGCCAGACTCTACGGAGGAGGAGAGCGAAGAAGAGAAGATCATCAAAAGGGACACTAGATCGCGAAAGTTAGTAACCGTGGGCGGGCAGAATCAAAAGTACGCCGCTAACAACGGGAAGAACGGTAACAGCGACAGCGAGAGCGAGGAAGAGGAAGAGGAAGAGCAGGAGCAGGAGGAGGCGGAGGCGGAGGCGGGTGAGGAGGAGGAGGAAGGAGATGTAGAAGAGCCGCAACAGTTACAGCACAAGGCCAATAATCAAGACTCTGAGGACAGTGATTATTCCTACAAAAGATCCTTCAGATCGTCGCGCTCGAGTCGCCGGACGCAGCGCGATTCCGTGGACTTGGAGGACACGAGGCAGCACAGTAGCACCAGGCGATCCTCGACCCGCAAACGGCCCTGCTACAACGAGGACAGCGACGACGAGGACGTGGACGTGGACGAACACGAACACACCGTGACGCCGGTGAGAAACCGGCGCAAGATTAAGCGTCGCTCGTACGCCGAGGATAGCGACGAGAGCATGCCGGAGCCCGGCATCAGCATAAGTAGCCGAGGTCGCATACGTAAAATGACACCGCGTGCCCGCGCTTATCTCCTAGAGTCGCCCTAACGGCATCTCTCTAGGTAAAACGTCGAAGGGTCTTGGTGAGAATTCCGAGGAGTGTGGTATCGTGCTGATTGCATCGAAAACTCGAATCATAGAACTGTCCAGAGATGAACAGAATTTTCGGTCGATCGGTCTTCTCGTTCTCTCGGCGTTCGCTTCGTCGTCGTTATTTTCCCCCTCACGATACCAATGTGAATCTCCGACAGACACGCCGCGATATGGTCTTCGGAGATGACGCAGTAAAAACTGAAATGAGATTTCATTTCAAAGGTTTTTTCTTCAACTACGCTCGAATAAAAAAAAATACCATTTATTTGTATAAAAGATTGAGATTGTAGAGTGAGTTGTATCGGGCGCTCCTGCTAAGTACTTCTATTTTTATGAAGCGACTTGTTCTGTAAAGAAAAATGTCATATTTCCCTTTTACATTGACCTGTACTGACGATCTGAACAATACATTGGCTCAAAGGTACAAACAGAAACAGTGTGAGCGGGCACGCGATATTTTCCGTTTTTTTTATAAGTCACTCGGTATGATTTTATTTGCGCGTTCAACCGAATTTAATAACGATAGGCAACTTTGTATAAAGTTTCACGTATTCTAAAGAAAATTATATCGAAAATTCTATATAATCGTGTTGTTGTACAGGTACAATGATTATATTGTTAACCATCTTGAAAGTGTAGAAACAAAAACGCGTCTTTCGAAAAGATGTGAGTCTACGTTTATATCAATTGCTTCCATTGATTTCAATAGCTTAGTTGACAAATGAAATTTTCATGCTATGATTATAAAAAAAAAAAGGAGAAGTGTTATTTTATAAAACAGTTTTCAGTCTCATTGAAGCAACAAAAGTTGAATAATGCACTCGTAAAATTTATCAAGTTATCGTTTTAAAATAAGGTCTTCGCATTGTCATCGTAATGGTTATTAATTGAGAGTTTATGTGCTCGTGTTGAGACTCTTGTTTGATTCATTGCAGTCATATTAAATTAGAAAACCCCTTTCGATTCGTGGGTAAATTGACAAACGGCTATAAATCTTATAGCCATAAAACCGCTATTTTTATATTATAATTTATATAATTTATATTTTATAATTATAATACATATTTTTTATAATTATAATATAATAGAGTTATATAATTATTTGTTACAAAGTTCGTTTTCACTGGAAAGACAGATTTGAAAAAAAAGAAACAACACTCATTTTAACACGCAACGTTTCATATGATTTCTCTTGATGTCGCAATTCAATAGAACTGCAATGAAACAATCAAGAGCCTTTGTGTAATTTTTTAAATATGTTCCACTGTAAGAGAACATGAATCAGTATTTATTTTATCTACGAAACCTTTTCGAGAAGACACGCAAGTCGTAATGTAATTACCTGTGAATTTTCGCATTGCCCCGAAAGAAAGATAGATCTATACAGTTCGTTACACACATAACACACACACACACACACACACATATATATATATATACATATACATACACAATGGTTACCTCTTTAGACAGCGGACTTGTAATTTTATTTTTAAGTTATATTAAATGTAACATGTGCGATAACGACAACGGTTTGTTGTTAGCATACGAAGAGAACTGACTCTAATTTTTTTTTTAATGTGATGAACAATATTTGGGAGTACAACAAGGTATCTTTATTTTCTTCTCTTCTTTTTCCTTTTCTTCCTCCTTTTCTCTCTTGCGGATTCTGCCTTTTCGCTTCTCACGAGTTTACTTAAGTTTACCGCACGTCACATGTAGAAACGTGAGTCCGCGTGCGTGTAAATATATCTTATCCATTTCAAATATAATTCTAATTTCTTCTTGACGTTGCATAAGATAAATTATCTATACGGTCTGTAGTTCGCGCGTGAGATAACGATTTTTTACATAGGATTTGTACATCTGTTACGGATTTAAGGAAATCACGCAATTTTAGAATTTTTCACGAAGGCAGATAGAGACGTTTTCCAGATTTATATAACGCGAATTCGAACGGATTATGCATTATAGTTGTATGATCGGAAGACAGTTGTGATGCCAGCAGCTAAACATCGTTTATCAGGACACATGCACAAACATCAGAAGTCTTGACTGTCTCGAGCCATTGTGATATTAGTTTAAGAATATCAAATATATGATAATGTAAATTATCAATAATTAGAATTGTAACGGATATTTTTTTAATGACTTACATAAGGCAGTCATATCACATGTAGATTCGATAATGCATCTAGCCTTATTAATATTAATTTAACGACGTTAACTTTGGTATCATTCTAATCATCATTAATCATACAATAACGAATATACGTCACGTGGTGAACATCCAGGAATAATATCATTTCATGTACATATATATACTCCGTCAAAGACACGTATGCTGGAACAGTTTAATACGGAACAGTTATGTTTTATGTACAGTTTGACACTTATTCTGTTGTGAAATCAACATGCTCTGTTATATACAATATGGTTCTCTGAAACCCACCGCCACCAATAAAAAGATTAAATTATTTTATACATGTCTACCTGTGGATTATTTATGCCATCAATCTTGAAAATTTCATGAAAGAGACCTTAGCCTTTTTTTCACTTGAATTGCTTTCAAAATTCTCGTTTACATGAAATTCTCAAATATATAATCACTTTTGTATTATATATTTTATAAATTGTAAATTAAGCTTTAGAAATTTGAGTCGCGTGTATGTTTACGAGATGAATTTATAAGCTTGTTGCGGAAACTAGAACTAGAAGGAAGATTAACTAATGGGCTAGGCTAGGTTCTATACAAGAGTACAATTAGTAATAATTAACAATTTATTTTTACAAGTTAATTATAATAAGTTACTTTTATAACGAGGATATTTACAAATATTAAAGGGTAATTTGGAAATTAAAAATGACATTTCCTGGTTCTTGCGTATTCATCGTGTACGAAATATTTTATTTTAATATTTCGCCTAACTATTACATCTTTAAACTGGTGATACGAATAATGTATGAAGAGATGCTTACTCACGCTTTATGAAATGGTCTCTAGTTTCGATAATAATTTGTAATTTTATAAAATGGCAGCCATATTGTTTTGTGATTATGTGAAAGTGTAACATCAGGATAAAATGGGTAACTTTGCAATCACGTACGTCTCGCAATTTCGAACGTTTCCATCATCCGTATAACTTTGCCTATACCTATCTACTTTCTGCCGGCATATATATCTATATATATCTAGTTTAATATAAAAACAAAATGTTTTAATATTGCAGAGCAACATGTTCGTCTACGAACAAGACGTCTATTTAGGAAAACTGCGCGTTTTCTATTCCGCGAGAGATAGTTGGAATGAAGTCCCAATATATGCAACCGCATCATCCTAAAAGTGTATTTTCAAAACCCTATGAGTTAATGTTACATGGACAGGCTTCGACTCGCTCTGAACAAAAACGAAATACACAATTGAAAGATGTATATTTTTCAATTAAAGATCTGAAATGCCACTGCAAGTTATATATCGGAGGTCTATCTGGATACTTCAGCTTCGGAAGAAAAGTACTTCGGCTAAAGAGGAGAAGCCTTGTTCATCGGACACTTTCGACGGAGTCAAACTTGCTTAGTCCACTTGGATCCTATTCGTAGTCAATACTCGATCGATCTTATCCCACGGAATGCCATAATCTGGTGAGGGGTACTCAGGCGGAGGATGAATACTGTTCTTTAAGCCTATGGAATTCAATTTCCTTCTGCAGGTATTCCTTGACGAACGGATGCTCCAAGTGCGAGTCCTTCAACTGACTTAGGTAACGATTCGCCACTTCCGGCGGTTTGCCCATATGCTGCGACAGGACTATCATATTGATCAGCGTATCCGGATTATTACTATCTTTATCGAGAGCTTCTTGCAAGGCCGTCTCCGCCTCCTCGTACTTGGCCTGTCCGATGAAGCAAGTGGCCTGGCCGTTGAGCAGCATGCTCGTGCTGGAATACTTGTCGATCATTTCCTGAAAGAATTCAACAGCAACGTCAGTGGAAAAAACATCAGGCGACCGTTCAGGTGAGGCGAGTGGACATTTGAGGGTATTCGCGGGATCAACGATTCGTTTTCGCTCACCTGAAATATGTAATAAGCATCCTGCAGCTTGTCGCCACCGCTGCTGATGTTTATCCACGCCTGAGCGAGCTGAGTCAAGGTGTCGTCGTCGTCCTTCTCCTGCATTGCCTTGAGCTCCTTGCGGGCCAGATCCAGACGGTCCATCTTGAGGTATATCTGTAACGTCAACGCCATGCACTCCAGATTGTCGGCAGGGCATATCACTCGGTGGGCGGCCTCCAGATTTTTCTCGTGGTAGTAAACGGTCGCGGCCACGATCAGGAGATTGTGGTTGTCGTAATTTATGTTCTTCGTCTCCTTGTCCAGCTCGGCCACTATCGCCTCCCGGCGATGCGGATTGGCAAAGTAGTCGGCCAGGGTCTTGAGCGGCTGCAATTCCGGCGGGGACGAATTGTTGATCTCGTCCAGCACCACGCGGAACTTCCTCTGCGCTATGTACGCGCGATAAAGGAAGACGTCACGCTCCATGGCCACTTTTGGAACGGATGTCTGTGGAAAGAGACGAGTACAATTGTGAGACGGAATTTACTTCACAAATCAAGCGATGTATTATTAAAACCCGGCGCGAACAATATACTGTACATATATTTTTACTTGCATAATTAAATGAACTTTTCTTTCGCGTGCAGATTCAAATCTGTTATTTATCACCGACTCTCTCGTCTGGGCTCTAGAAACAATATCGACCATTTCGATAGCGACCAAGTTCCGTTTCATTTTTCAAGCGCGACGCAACAGGAAAAGTTGTGCAGCGTGTGTTCTTTAAAAAAAGCAGCACGACGGTGTATCGAGGAAATGTTGGCGGAGACGAACGAGCCAGAAGGAATGGCAAATGACAGCCGCCCACGTTGGGAATTCAAACGAGGCAGCGCGTGGCGTCGTCGCGAGACATCATCGTCGGGACGGGACGACCATCACCTTGATCTTCTGCGCCTCGTTGATGCACTGCTGGTAGTTGCCGATGTAGAAATTATTTCTCACATTGAAGAGATCGTTGAAATCCTGCTGACGTGCCATCTTGTCGCTCATTGTCGCCCCGGAGTCGCGATACAGGCTATGTGCCGACACAAGCCGCTAGTATCGGGCGCAGTCACTGCAGTCAGGCGCAGTGAGGCCGCGAGGCGCAGTGTGGAGAAATGAACTCGGATTTTCGCGCGTGCGCGAACTATCGCGCGACGTCAACAATCTGGATCTGGCAAGCCAACATAAGTCACGTGACAACGAGTGGGAAAACTGATGCCGTGTTCAAATCTATACGCACGCATCCACGGCAAAATCACATTTTAGGGGATCCCAGAGAACATGCGCGTCTAAAAGGCATCTTTAAGACGTCTATTAAACGTCTTTTAGACATAAGACGTCTAATAGACGTCTTAAAGATGTCTTTTAGATACGCGTGTTCTCCGGATTAAGTTTCTGGGCGGTTAATTTATGTTTGCATTATTTAAGGTAGTTATTTTGTAAAATCATTTACGTGAGAATTGTTTCAAATTTTTGCAGTTTATTCTTTACCTTAATACGTGCAAAGTAAGACTAATTAAATTTAAACTGACCGTCTCGAAGTTCTAAGACAAAATGTTTAAGTTTGCTATGTACAGGCAAAACGCCGGCGTGGCCGTTCTTAGGTTTCTCTCTGGTTGCGCATAAATGGACAGTCGACAGATAAGAGACTTTCGTTAATAGAGAAGAAAAATACTTTTGTACAAACTTTCTCCATTTCATATAATCCAATCTGAAGTAATGAAATTATACATACAAGTTAACGCCCCGAACTTTATGACACATATCTTAATGTATTTTTTGTATATAATAATATTATAAAATGCCATTTTTATTATTTCTTAATGTCTTTAATGTAAAATAGCTTAAATATGGTATACAAAACTATACAATATAAAATTGTTACATCATCATGAATTATTCTTTGTTGATTAACAAAGTAGTCGAAGAAACATATATTTTGCTGTTACTTCAGTGACAATGAGTCTTTATTTATCATCTGAAGATTTATCATCTTCAGGTTATGGGGAATCGCCTTCAGATTTTATATTATATTCTTCCCAAACGTAATTGTGATAGACGTCGGTTGAAGAGACATTCTCAACTTTTATACATTCTTCCAAAATTTTGAACGGTGTAGAAGTAATTGGAGGTGAAGATGAAGGTGAAGGCAAATTCTCAACTTTTATGGGCTCTTTCGAAATGTTGTGACATGTAGAAGCAATTGGAGGCGGAAATAAGGGTGAAGGGAAACCTTCGCCTTTTATAGACTCTTCCAAAATGTCGTAATGCGTAGAAGCAATCGGAAGTGAAGTTGAGGGTGAAGGCAAATTCTCAACATTTATAAATTCTACTGGCATAACTTGGTCTTCGTGAATTGTTTTCTTTTCTGAATCTGAAGATTTCCTGCAGAGTTTGTCGCCCAAATAAGAAACAAGGCCATGTCTTTCTTTAAAATACCGCAGCCACGTATCTGCATTATTGACCTTGCATGGTATACGATTTACAAGAGCGTTAAACTCAGATTTCAAGTGGAGTTCTTGTACATCAATACCACTGGATCTCTGTCGATCATACCACACATGCAGAGCTTTATCTAAATATTTATTTGGCCCACGTATTGTGTATTCTTTCTCCCTTTTTGTAGAAGCATTTAATTTAGAAACGTTGTGACATGTAGAAGCAATCGGAGGTTGAAATAAGGGTAAAGGAACACCTTCACATGTTACAGATCCTTCCGAAATGTGATGTGTAGAAGCAATCGGAGGTAAAGGTGAGAGTGGAGGCAAATTCTCAACATTTATAAATTCTACTGGCATAACTTGGTCTTGGTTAATATTTTTTTCTTTCGAATTTGAAGATGTCCTACAGATTTTGTCGCACACAGATAAAACAAGGCCATGTCTCTTTTTAAACTTGGTCAACCACGTTGCGTCCTTAAAACGGCGTCTCAAACGTTTTTTCAAGGCTTCGTACTGAAATTGCAACTGAAAATTTTGAACCTTGACACCCTTGGATCTCTGTTCAATATACCATTTATACAGAGCTTTATCTAAACATTTATTTCGCCCACGTAGCCATTTTTCATTCCTTGTTGTAGAAGCAATCGGAGGTGAAGCCGAGGATGAAGGCAAATTCCCAACTTTAAAAAATTTTTTTGTCATAACTTGGTCTTGGTTAATGTTTTTCTTTTTTGAATCTGAAGATTCGCTACAGATTTCCTTGGTCAAAGAAAGACTAATGCCATGTCTCTTTCTAAAATTCTGCAGCCAGATCTCGATATTCTTAATACTGAGTCCCATACGTTCTTTCATAGCCCCACACATGGATTTCAACTGGAGATACTGAACAACAATACCACTGGATGTCTGTTCAATATACCATTCATACAGAGCTTTATCTAAATTTATATTTCGCCCTAAATTCATGATTTTTTTATTCCTTAATATAGAACAATATAATTCCGAACTACCAATATAGTTTGTCGATAAAAACTCTAGCAATTTGGGCTTTAATTTACGGATTTCCCGGACGTGTCGTTTACTTATGTCATAAATTTGACAAATATCCGTCACTGGGACGCCTTCTTCCAATTTCTTGATTAGCTCTAATTTCTGCACCACACTCATGAACACGCGCTTTTTCTTCACCTCCTTGTTGGTTGATGCCATTTTAAACTGTAAGGATTGCAAAATTATCATTTATTATAATAATTATTTTAAAAATTAACTTACAATTCAGAAATCGCAGGAAAACGCTGTATACAACACGAAGACTTTGAGGCAGACTCAAATCGAAATACAAGCAACGAGTTTATTCCACGCTACCTAAAACAAATATGCCATGACTCGTACGCGTATCGGCACTTGAGGTATGTACATATTTACATACCCAGGTAGCCAGCTGACGTCCCTTGTCGCCATTTTAACGTCGAAACGTCGTCAGAAATGTCATTGCGTCGTCACAATGACGACAAGTTACGTCAGCTGGCTACCTGGGTATATACCCTGTTTGTATTTGTCCGGTTTATTCAAAAATTCGTATAACAAATCAAGGATTACAGGTCTGCGTGCATAAAGAATATCCCATACAGCACGCATGTCTAAGACATCTTTAAGTCATCTCTCAGACATACATATCTAAAAGACGACTTAAAGAAGTCTTATAGATGTCTTTTAGACATGCGTGTTGTATGGAATGTTGGGACCAAGAATTAATACTGAATATTAGAAGAGAGAAAGAAGGAGAGAAATCAAGTATAATGCACAATGAAAGAAATACAAGATATCATAAGAATTGTGTTATGTAGTCGTAACCCAAAAATATTTATGTTTTAGCTCATAAATTTGAGCAATGTGGATTTAATATATATGTTTCCATTTTAAATAACCCAATCTGGAGTGAAATAACATACGTTATTTCAACAAGTTAATGCTCAGAAACTGATAACACATCTTAATATATTTCTTGTATATAATGTTATAAAATGCCATTTTTATCTTTTCTTAATGCCTTTAATAATAGCTGTAATATGATATACAAAACTATACTTAATACAAAAGATCTTAATTATATCGTTATATATATTCTTTGTTGATTAATAAACTATTCGAAGAAACGTACGTATTTTGCTGTGACTATAGTGATAGAGAGTCTTTCTGAAGATCTATCATCTTCAGGTGATGGGGAATCACCTTCAGATTTTATATCATATTCTTCCCAAATGTAATTGCAATAAACATCGGTTGGAGACGAACATGATTCTGAACAGAAATTCTCAAATTTTATAGATCCTTCCAAAATTTTGGAATACGTAGAACCAATCGGAGGTGAAGCTGAGGGTGAAGGCAAATTCTCAACTTTTATAGACTGTTCTGGCATAACTTGGTCTTTGTTAATGTTTTTCGTTTCTGAATCTGAAGATTCCCCAGAGTTCCTCGCTCGAGAAACAATGCCATGTCTTTTATGAAAATTGCACACCCACCTCCTGTTACACTTGATATCGAGTCTCATACGTTCTTTAATAACCTCAAACTTAGATTTCAACTCGAGACTTTGAACATTAACACCACTGGATGTTTGTTGAATATACCATTTATACTGAGCTTTACTGCAAGGATTGCAAAATTATCATTTTACAATAATAATTATTTAAGAAATTAACCCACAATTCAGAAATTACATAAACGCTCCGTATACAACCGGAAGGCTTGTAGACAGACTGAAACTGAAGCAAAGCGAGTTCACTCTCCACGCTACCGAAAGCAAATCAAAGCAAATGTGATATAACCCGCACACAGTGATGGGAGAGAGATTGCAAGGAACAGTCTGCTACAGGAGACTTCGTGCGCATGCGTGAGGTGACGTAGCAGCTCGAATCCAATAGCCCACGTTCAGCAGGCACAACTGTTGAGTGAGCGTTCAGTATGATTGGTTAATACTTTTAGATCCAGCCAATCATATTAAGAAATCACTGAGCGCTCGCTCAACAGTTGTGTCTGCTGAACGCGGCCTATATGTTGTTGTACGAAGCACGTTGGCGACACTGGCGCTTTGATGACTCCAGTCTGACGTGTAAACTGAACGAGCCGCTTCGCCAGTAGGTTAGATCGAAAGTCGTCGTGTGGCTGTGCCCGGAGCCCGGGAAGCGGTCTCTCTCTTTCTCTCTTTCTCTCTTTCTCTCTCCCCCCCTTTCTCTCTCTCTCTCGCGTTCAAGCATCGTGACGATCATGCTCGATCTTTTCACAATATTCAGCAAGGGTGGCATAGTGCTCTGGTGCTTCCAGAGCACGTCACAGATTTTCGCGCCCAGCGTCAATGCCCTGATAAGAAGTGTTATACTGCAGGTGAGTCGCGAAAATGTAGATCGTCTGACAGGCACGAGTCGACCTTTGACCCCGAATTGCGCGACGCATCGCCTCAATTTTCTCACGTTAAATTCACGTTCTGATCTGCTCAATCGGTTCCCCGACGGGAATCCTATTTCTTATCCTTCAAATACCGTAATCACGGGTGCTCTGTCCTCGTATCTTCAGCCCTTAATCTCTTTCTCTCTCTCTCTCTCTCTTTCTCTCTCTCTTTCGATCTGTCATTTGCACGAATAGTGGTGTGAAAATAGAAGTATACAAAGCTTGGTGCAAAGCGATTTCAAAATATACATTTAAGATATTCTTTAAATTGTTGCAAACTAATTGTACGTAATGGTAAAAACGAGGTCGTCAGGTTAAACGCACCATATGGCTAGAGTTGCCAAAACAGGTTGCCCTGCGAAAGAGTCCTCGTATCGCGAAATAAAATTGGATTAAATTAAGAGAATGGATGTTATAAAGAGGAATTAAGCCTCCTCCATTTTATTTTCCTCTGAAAGGCTCGTTTGAGTAACAATTCTTCATTCTAAATCAGACGACGTGTGTTAAGTGTCTTGTCAATGCATATATTTTTATGTAAAATATTAAGATCAAAGAGAACTAAATTAAACTAATAAACTTCTGTTATCTTCATGTTCTCTTTGTCACGCGTGCTATTAAAATCCGTCATTCTATCTGCGAGACTTGAAAAGATAGGCTTCTTCATGAGAGCTAATTTTTTCAGGAACGTACGGGAAATCACAGCTTCGAACATGATTCCCTGCGACTGCAGTATAAACTCGACAACGAGTTCGAGCTGGTGTTTGTGGTGGCGTATCAGAAGATACTGCAGTTATCATACGTGGACAAGTTCCTGAATGACATCCACTTAGAGTTTAGAGATCGCTTCAAGAACGAGCTCGAGAGCTCGAGCTGGTTTACCAACTTCGAGTTCGAGCAAGCCTATCGTATGGTGCTCGAGCGAGCTGAGCACTGGTCGCGCTCACAGGCTAAGATACCGAAGCAAATGCGCACCTTCGACGAGAGTCAAAAATCCAAAAAGACTGTCGCTAGTATGATCGACAGAAAGGACGACAAGGACGATAAGAAGCCTGGTATAATAATAATTGATAACACGCAATTACTTTGTGACGCGTTAACGGTGTACATAGCTTTATCTAATTTTGCGAGAAACGAGCTTGAATTTTACAATCTAAATTTAAGATAGAAAATGTAGATAAGGCTCCTCTACAAAACAACGTGAATTAACGAAAGTTATGTTAGAGAACGTTTAGGCAATGTGTGCCGTCACCCGTTGAAATTCTTGACTCCTTTTCCATTGTTACTTCTACACTCGTTTTATTTGATTCGACTCGAGCATACTTTTTTTTAGATTCAAAATCTGTTAATACCAATGCGATATATACAATATAAAAAATTGTTTTACACCATTTTCAACGGATGACGGCTCGCATTGCCTAAACGTTCTCTAACATTATTCTCGTTAGTTCAAGCTAAATTTAAGAGGAAGAAATAACAAAAAGGATGATTCGTATTTGTAGTAATTAATAATATTCAGGTTCAGGGAAGAGTTCAGAAATTACATAAAGCACAGTTGTGCGATAATAACGTCCTCGGAGAAAAAAGAAGTGTAGTATGGTAGAAATGTAGGAGAATCGCGCTTATTTTATTTTCGTAGTATGAAACAGTAAGGCCTGTTCCACAATACGTATGTCGGATGTCGGAACGTAGCAAAGGAATTGAAGAAAAATTTCCAACATCCGACGGCGACATACGATGTATCGTAGAACAGGTCTAAGCAAGCTGTAATATTTAATTTGGAATTGCTACTTTTACTCGATAATCTTCCCCTTTCCGATCTGGATGCTAAAGCAACAGGGATTTTCTTCGCTTCTAGGTAAAAAGAAGAAAGCGAATAACTGTAATGGGGAATATCATAGTAAGTGGCCTCCACCAAATCCTTGCATGCTGGTGTGCTGTGTCGAGTATTATGCATGATATTGCGTGAAGAAAACACAATTAACGAACGTAACTTTAGTTTGCTAAAGTGTTTGGAATTTTTCCTTTTAGCTTATGCTTTGTGTATTAAATTAAATGTATCTTGATGCTGTAGCCAAAATTCAGGATATTCCGAAGCAGGAGTTGCCGAAGCAGCAAGTGGAACATAATGGGGAACTCAATGAAGAAACACTGATCACCAATCGTATGAAGCTCGCTCAGAAAATGGCGGGGCAAAAGAAGAAAGCTGACAAGCAGTAAGCATATATTCCCTTCTTAATCCATTGGAGAAAGTAATCTCCATATTAACCAAATGGGAAAGTTTTAATTATTGCAATTTAACTAATTCTATTGAACATTTAACACAATTCACATTTTAATATTATTTTTGTGAAAAAGATCCATTATTGGTAATATAAAAAAAAAACATTCAAAAATTAACAACGTAATAAAAACAAGTATCGTCTCAGGAAAAGTCCTAAACCTGAGAAAGCAGGCAAGAAACCGCGCATCTGGGAACTGGGTGGCACAACCAAGGATCTTGCTACACTAGAGCGAACTAGAGACAAGCCCGAAGAAAATGATGATTACGTGGCAGCCAATACAGCTGTAATATTTTTTCTTTTATACTTTAGTATCGAGTTTATTGAAAAGTTTCTTATTTTATTAAATTGAGAGTCTTATAAATTTCTTCGGTCAAGTTAATATCATCCGACTGATAATCGGATTCTATTTGTTTTTATTTCTGAAAAATCGTGTACGAAATAAAATTTTTATATTATCATTAGTGAATATGGAACGAGTTAATTCTTACTACGACAGATCAAAGAAAGAAATATTTGACATAAAATAAAGAAAAATGCGAAAGAGGTAAAAATACATTGAATAAACTGACTTTTAGGCGAGAAAATTGAAATTTGTCATTTATATTTTCACCATTTATGCTGTTCACTTACATTTTTATTGCTTCCTGTAGCTAGTTGGACAGATGAAAGGTGGTATACGCGATCTCGAGGTGAACAGCGAATCTGAGGATAGTTCGGACGAGGAAGAGTTTGAGCAATCCAAGCAACAGATGCAGAAGAAAACGAGTATGTTCTCCATGTTCAAGAGTCTGGTGGGCAGCAAATCTCTAAAGCAGGAGGACATGTTGCCGGTTTTGGAGAAACTGAAGGATCATTTGATCACTAAGAATGTCGCCGCGGACATCGCGCAGAAGTTGTGCGATTCTGTCGGCACAAAGCTGGAAGGAAAAGTACTTGGCACCTTTGACAGCGTGGCAAACACTATCAAGGCCACCCTGACGGACGCCTTGGTACAGATACTGTCGCCCAAGAGGAGAATCGATATTCTTCGAGACGCTCTAGAAGCGAAGAAGAGTAACAGGCCTTACGTGATGACTTTCTGTGGTGTCAATGGTGTCGGCAAGTCGACGAATTTGGCCAAAATCTGCTTCTGGTTGATAGAAAATAATTTCCGCGTGTTGATAGCCGCATGTGACACATTCAGGTAAATCAGCGTTATTGACAAAACATGCTAGTAGGTTTTTTTTACATATATGTACGCACACATATACTTCTTTGATATTAAATGTTTTCTAAAATATAATTCGTCACCTTTAATATATCTCTATACTAGCAAGTTAAAGTGTACTTAAATAATTAAGTGCCTGTAATAACAATAATTTTGTGATTCAGAGCTGGAGCTGTCGAGCAACTGAGGACACATATGCGACACCTCAACGCTCTACATCCACCAGAGAAGCACGGGAATCAATCGATGGTGCAGCTATACGAGAAGGGTTACGGCAAGGATGCCGCGGGTATCGCCATGGAAGCGATACGCTTTGCGAAGGATTCCAGGATTGACATTGTCCTGGTCGACACTGCCGGTAGAATGCAGGACAATGAACCGTTGATGCGAGCTCTGGCAAAGCTGATTAAAGTGAATGAGCCAGACTTGGTATTATTCGTTGGGGAGGCCCTCGTCGGCAACGAGGCTGTGGATCAGCTGGTGAAATTCAATCAGGCCTTGGCTGACTACAGTCAATCTGCCAATCCTCATATGATCGACGGTATCGTCTTGACGAAATTCGATACGATCGATGATAAAGTAAGTTTTATACATACAGGGTGTCGCATTTTTAATGATCCACGCAAATATCTCCAAAAATACGAAAGATACGGAAAAACGTTTCAAACAATAGTTGTTTGGTTCGAAGGGGAACATAAGGTGGTGCCATTGACTTGACCTTGGATAGTCATTTGAAGGTCACGCGAAGGTTACCTTCAATTTTTTTAATGGAACCCTCTATTGTTTATTAAACTATCTTATTCTACTAATTAATATGAACAACTTTTGTCCGAGACATTTTTTGATTTGCCTAACACTTTTTGAGGTATTCAAAAGAAACGAAAGGAGAGTTTGCTTATTGTCACCAGTAATGATTAAAAATTGAGACGGGAAACTTATAGTCAACCCAACTGGCATTAACCTACATTATTTTATAATTGCGTTGTTGTTGTTGATTTGCAGTATCACTCGAAAAGGACCCAAAAGAATAGGGTCGAAACGTTGTATAATAAACTAATTAAATAACTAGCCAGTTGGGTTGACTATAAGTTTTCCGTCTCTATTTTTAATCATTACCGGTGACAATAAGCAAACTCTCCTTTCGTCCATTATTATATAAAATACAACAGACCACATACATATACAGTATACATAAAAAATGTGTTTTCATCTTAATTTTCATTTACGATTGTTTCTCACGATTATTTGCAGGTCGGTGCAGCTATCACAATGACGTACATCACTGGTCAACCTATTGTTTTCGTTGGAACCGGCCAAACTTACACCGATCTGAAATCATTGAATGCCAAAGCGGTGGTACACGCTTTGATGAAATAAAAAGTGTTAACAAGCAATAATAAACCTCTACAGGCGTTTTATCTGTAACATGCGTAGATTTTATTCAAGGTTTGTTATACACCGATATTACGAGCTCTTGTATTACTTTCGGGACTGAGTTGGATTATTGTCTGGCCAGACCGTCGGAATAAGAATTAAAGGGAAAGTCAAGATAGAGTAACTCTGGTCTGATAAGTAAATGTAAGAAGCCGACTGTACAATATTTCGCGAGGAATCGCGCTGTTGTTACGAAAATACAAAAAAAAAGAATCTAGTAGGGAAAAGAAAGGAGACTGATCGCGCTCTCAGTTGTATTAGGTTACCGCAAACGGGTGTATTTGTCAAATAAAGTTGGATATTTCACAGTTTAGAAGTAGCTTTTATTTCACGTGATCATCGCGGGATTCAACCGTGCTTTTTTATTCAAGAAAACGCGTTTCTTGTACGAAAAACTTTATTTGCACAAAGTTTTGCGTGGAACTTACTTGAAAGTTTTATCAATAAATTAATGTTTGCATCGATCGGCAAATCGTGGATGTAATGAAAATAGACCGCACGTTCGCTCGGCAAATCGTAAACGTGGGCGGGAATACGAAGCGCCGCCACACGCGTCGAAGCAGCATGGCGCAGCCAATCAGACTCGTTCTCGTTCTTCCGACCTCGCGCTTCTTCGTCGAAGACACAGCTTGCGCTCTAATTATTTCTTACCCGTGCCGCATCCCGCACGACTCGAAAAAGGATAGATATATTACATAACTCCACGCAGTTGTCATCGTTATTTTGCCGTAAAACCCGAAATAGTGAGTAATTAAAAATGATCAGGCATGAAACTAAAGGAGCACCGAGTACACGATAGCCGTTTTCTCTTACAATTCGTAAAACTCGCTACGATAAATGAGGTTAAATCGTCGCACGTCCGCCCGTCATTCTCTTCCTTCCAAGGATCGTCACAGCGGTCGGTCGATATAAATCGCGCTGTTCCAAGACTATTCCGTTTGTGCTAACATTAATCGCTAATATAATCTCTACAACTGTAACGAGAGGAAACCTTTTGCATAATTTTTATAGGTTACCACGCGGGTGATCTGTGCCTGAGCACCTGCAGTTCTAGTTTGCAATTTTTTCACGATGTCGTTAAATTGTGACATACGGTAAAAAAAAAACGCTGCGGTTTTGAGACGCTAAGGACATTATCGTCGAGTTTCAGGTTTCCAGTTCGACCGTGTGCGCAAACTTGCGCCGACGGATCTCTAGCGCGAATCTATCGCGTAATCATTGTTACTCGCGTTAATTACAGTTAATCTGTTTACAGACGGCCAACATGTCGCAAGGCGCGCCGTTTCGACCCATGAAGTACCCGTACACCGTGTCCGCGAAGATCGCTCAGTTCCCATACAAATATTACATTAAGCACAGCTGGCTGTTCAGATACATGCTGGTAGCCACGGTCGTGACGATGCCGTTCTTCTATAAAGTCGAAAAACTATGTGAGTCTTATGAAACTGTCCCTCGACGGCTGTTCGATTTAACGGAACATGTGTACCACTCGTTATCTCTGCTTTCAGCGTACGCTCCCGAGAATGTTGCGAAGTGGGAAAAGACCCATCGAGAAATGTTCGAGGGCACCGGCCACCATTGAGACAAAAGACCTTAGAAATGATGTACGCTGAGAAATTGTAATCCTTTCTCTGTCCAATTAGAAGAAATAAATCCTTAATCGCACGTGTGAAATGATTTGTGGATAGGCAGAAGAGGATTGTTTAAAAAAAAAGTCTATTTGAAGATTCGTGTTATCAAAATAATCGTATAAAATATACATTGCTAAAAAGAACACCTTTTTTTGTACCTAGTACAGCTAATAAAATCTAGTCCGAAATTAAAAAATGTTGAAAAAATTAACTAAAAAGGGAAAGAAATAAGTACCGTTGACGCAAAATCGAAATTTACACACATCGCGGAACAATTGAAACAACGTTTCTCAGTTGACGACAGTCACAGAGCCCGCAGTACAAAAGTATCCAATTTTATTGTCTGGATCTACAAACATGAGTTCTTATGGATGATGCTCTTGCAACTTACTTCTCTTTTTTTTTCTTTTGAAAGCTGTGCTCGTATTCTATCATTAAAGCTCGCGTACAGACGATCTCGAGTAAAGCAAAATTTATAGTGCGACTTATCATGTATACAGTTAACGATTCTTAATATTATAACGGTAATGCGTATATATAAGATTACCGCTTTACGTGAATAAAATTAAAATAATAAATAATTGAACGATGCGAGAATATTATCGAGCATCTCTCTCCTCGTTTACATCCTATGAAGAAAATAATGCTATTCTTGTACTGATCAAAGCGATTAGAACTAATCGGCTACATATGTCGTTTTGCTCTACGAGTGCACGATACATCTAAAAGTATATGTGCGGCTATGTATATTGTATTCCTGCAAATAATACTGCGTACCGTCTTTATTACAAGCCTCGAAGAAGTCGACTGTGGAGAGAAAACGTTTTTTTTTGGTCATTTATTCCCATCGGCGATTCCGCAGAATCGGTTCTTATTGATTGCAATATTTTTCGTAAATTGACCGTGATGTAATTTTATATTACTCTGTCGAAAGAATCAAGATATACAATTTACAAAATGCCTTGACCTCCGCATACAGAATCTTCCGACCGCTCAACATCGGTATACGAATTCACATATATGCTGAGTTCAAAATATATAAAATATGAGCGGCTCTAGATAAAAATTTCTTGAGTATGCATCGTAATGAAATATATATATATATGTATATAGAGCTAATCTTTTTCATCCTATCTCCTCTTCTGCGTCTCAATTTCCTCATCCTCGCTCTCTGACGCGCCGTTTTCCTCGACGTCGCTACTGTCCAATCTCGACCTCTTGATTTTGGGTTCATCTTGGAAAAGCGCCTCGTCGAAATTCAAGCCTAACTCTTTGCAGCGTTTCTCAAAGTATTTGCGTAATCGCATACCTGCACTATACACATAACTATTTTTAACGAGACATAGCCTCGCTCCTTACATTCGTATTCACAAACTGGTTCGGAGGCCAAAGATTACTTACATCAACAACATCGAAGAACATTAATTGTACTAAAAGTTACAGACGAATTAACACGTTCGCAATTTTTGTGAAAAAACGAATTCCCCCATTAAACAATTATAGAATAGTCAATCACATTTAATTATTTCGAACGTGCAGCCTTTTGCGTAACGAGTGTTATCTTGCAAAGTACTATAGCATTCATACTTGCATTTCGTTACATTTGTGATATTCTATCAATCTAATTCGGATCACACGAAACACAGTTACATTGACAATTTTGTCATATACATCGAGTTGAATTAGTATACAAGTGATAGGAAAAAAAGATAAAAGTGCCAATTTATTGCTTTGTCATTAATAAAGTTGTGTTAATAAAAATTAATGTGTATATTTACTGTTAATGATGTAAGTGAGATACGTAAATTAATATTACATATATTAATATATTATATTAATAAACATTAATAGATTCATCTATGCAGCATGAACCAACATTGTATTCTCTGGCATCCGAACTTGAGTGAAATAGATAACGAAAACGTTGATACTTACTTGTATACAGCGCTGTGCTCCTTGTTATACAATCCACAATTGTCAAAGACTAACTGACAATCGGTAAAGAATTTATCTAATGTCTCGTAGTCGCCGTTGTTAAGTTTGTACTTGATAGTGCCAAAGTCCATCGGATTAGAGATGATATCGTGATAGTCTGGAACCTCGTCCTTCGTGACGGGCGACAAAAACGGCCACGAATCTCTGTGATGCTTGATGTCGGTCAGCAATTCTTGCAATCTAGTCATAGATCCCTTAATCGAATTCTTGTCTCCGTACTCTATCTCGGCGGCTCTCTTCGTCGCACGTCGCGTTTGCCTCGGTTCAGTGTCATCCGATGCGCTGCTATCTGTACAACAAAAATTTTCGCATCAGCACATCTGTCTACTTTGCCATTTCAATTCGGAATCACGTATGAAGTCTATGCTAAAAACTAAAGTTCTATCGATACATGATATTCATATGGTATACACATTGGTTAGCAATAGCTTACGGATTTCATTGCAAGTTTCAAGATGATAAGATGTATCAAGCATTTACATGCTAGGGATGTAATGCTATGTCAGGGTCTGTCCATAACAAGCCTCCCATTTTACTCGGAAGTCAACCAAGAATTATATGCGTGCGAGTGTGCATGTATCACGCCACGTTTTCTTTCAATTATTACAAAATTTTACGTATTTCGCTATGAAAATGTTATTTTAAATGAAAAGATTTCTACATTTCAATAAAACCGGACACTGTACAATCAGTCCAGATTTATATTAATTGCAGTCTACAGTAATTATTTATTAATTTACGAAAATTTTCCTTGTTTGGAACAACAGAAAAATATCTTTCCGAGAACATAATAATGCAGAAATGTTTAAATAAAATAATCGAAGTGAAAGAATGCCGACAGATTTATAGTAAATAATTCACTCGGTTAGTTTCGTCTGCTGTCCCCAAGATAAAAATCAAGGGAATTATTAAAACAACTATTCAGATATCAATGATGAACAGACCCCCCTCGATGATGGACGTATTCTTCTAACGTGCGGTGCTTTCCAAAAAGAAAATTAAAAAAAGAGATTGGCCATGGTGATGCTACGCACAGGTATATGAATACACACAGTAAAAAAAGGGATACAATACAGACCGTCCCAGTCTGTAGATTCTGTAGTGAGGAGGCTCTTGGCAAAGCCATGGATGCGAGAGCGTGCTGCTGCTGCGCACAGCCTCTCCTTGTCTCTTTCCCTCTCGCGCCCCCTCACTATCAACATAATTTCAACGCTAAGAAACTTCCATATAATATCCTTATAACAACTTGTCTATACCTCTAATTTTGAGCTACATCAAACGCGGAAAGTTTCTCTTCTCGAGTTACAACAGAAGAACAACGCCCTCGAGACACTCCCGCCCGTTATACTCCTCCGTTATCGTTTCTCCATTACCTTTCGTCGCGTTCCTCCTCTTATCCTTGCACTTGTGGCAAGACCATCTCCCTCTAGGAGCCCTCGACAATGGCGGTTCTACGCACTCCAAGTGATAACGATTCGGACATGTGTCGCAAGCGATCAGCCTCCCACCGCTTTTACACGACACACACAGGTTCTCTAGCCGTGTGTTTCTGAAACGAGGAGAACAAGTTAAGTAACAGTAATAATCGAGATAACAAATTTTAATGCTACAGAGAGACAACTCACATATCTTCCTCGCTGTCCTCATCGTCTTCATCATCCTCCTGGTCGCCCTGGTCGCCCTCGTCGTCGCTCCGTGGTACGCGCTTCGCGCGATTGTGCCGCGTCTCTTTGGTCAATATAGTGTCCTCCTCGATCTCATCCTCGAATCTTTTCCGCTTTTGAGCCTTTTCTTTGGGTTTTATCTCTGGCGGCCTGCACGCTGTGCAAAACCAATCTCCCGGTGGTACAGCCTGTAGGAAATAACGAGGAAATAATAATGACAAGTGAGTCGATCGCCATTGTGCTGGAAGCGAAGTATAGCGAACTATTAATTACAGTAAGTTTCGGTTTCAGACAATAGAGATGGTGTCCCCTGTTGCATCCGTCGCACAGCAACATGTTCTCCGCGTCCCTGCGCCTTCGACATATACGACACTGAGCGTTCAGCGCGCTTCTGTCCCACGCGACGCTATTGTGCAAGGTACTTAAGTGAACGAACAACTGGGACCAATTCGTAGACGCTATTAGCGATTGCTCCCATCTCTCTCGCGCCTCCTCGCCCGACCACTTTTTGTCCTTCTGATCGGGCCCCAGTGGTCTCTGTAGGTATCTCTGTTCTATAGCGTGTGACAACTGCAAGATGGAACAAGCTAGCTGTTTGATGGCCGCCTGTTGCCTCGGGTCGGGCACCATTTCGTCGTCACCGGGTAAACCCAAGTATATTCCTGGGTCCTTGTAAGTCTTTATGTTAATACTTCCAACCTCGGAGTCCGGAGTACCGGGTCTACTGTGTTTAGCCTCATTCTTTATCTTGTCTATCAGAGCATTAGGCGGTGTATCTATGTCTATCTCACTACCGGCGCACATCAACTTGTCACACTGTTTGTCGTAACTTCTCTGGTTGATCGCGCTCCTCCAGACGACACGATCGATAATTTTAAGGCATCCTAGACAACCCGCGTTGATCTTGTCTTCGAAGTCCAAAATGTGATCTCTCAAAGTCAACTCCATGACATCGTCGATTGACATGTCAGAAGGAAAATTCAAGTTCGCGTTTTCATATTTATTTTTCTTAACCGCCTTAATTTGCCCTTTACTGGGGTCTGAAAACTACATACGAATATTCATTTACTTTATGTCCTTAAATTGCCCATAACTGGTATAGTATACGTGCAACATATATATACCCGAATAAGCCGTATTATACATAAAATAAAAGTATACTTACAACTTCAGGATTTAATTTGTGCTTAGGAGATTCGTCGATAACGAGGAGCAAATTGTCCATCTCTTGCAAAAGATTATTTCTAAGCTCGCTCTCCCTGACACCCCGTGTGCTCAAACTATCTATTAGCGCTTGAATATCTGCTTGATTCCCGTAGAAGCTCCATCTTACTGGTGATCGCTTGCAATGGACGGGACAATCCTTTTCTCCCGTACACAGCACCAAACTTTTTTTGATATTGGTGAGATTTTGTGTAAATTCCTTCCGTGGGCTCAGTTCTTTCCGTGGCGATTTGACGCCATTTTTGTCCGAGGATAGAGGCTTTTTAGGCGATTTCTTCGATTTCTTGAAATTATTTTCCTTGTCACTGAACTCGTCCTCAAATTTAGTTTTCAGATATGCATAGGTTGATTCCTTGTCCTGCAACTCTGGATGATGCGGAGTGCCCTCGGGAAGACAATTTCCAGGCCAACGTTCGTCATTTTCGACAAATAATCCTACAATAAGAAATCGAAATAATCTACAGGATCAATTAATAATTAATTACAGCAATAACTTTCTTATGAGAAGTGTTATAAACTTTTATCACAGAAATTCTGGAAGTAGTAATATTGGAAAGTTACACTGAGAACAATTACTTGCTTTACTTACTTTTTTAAATAGCAACTATTACAAAAGTATAACGAAATAAAACAATATGATGTACATTTACTTGAATATATTTACATATATTTAACATTTTAATTCTAATAAAATTGCGAAATCTAATATCACAAGAAAAAGTAAAAAATTAACATATCAATTTCATTAAAAATTGTTTTCCTCGAAGAGATATTGAAGCAGAAAAATTATGCCAAAGAGAAAACAATAGTACAAACTAATGTTAATTTAACGCTTTTAAATACAAAGTGATGGTTGTCCGATTACAACCAATAAAATGCTGTAGAACATTAAGTTTTTCATTCTCAGTTTTGAATATTTTAGAGACAAAAATATAGAAACGTACCTGGTATAGATATGAATCTCCAATATCTTCGATGAGCTCTATCCGCACCTAAATAAATCATCATTTTGTCATCCCTCGTCGCTTGTTGCAGTTCCTTCAGTTTATTTTCATAGTCCTCCCTTTTCTTTCCCTCTTCGTAATTACCACGCGTGATCTTTTTCGGCTTCGGCTCTTCCTCATCAACCTTTCCCTCCTTCTCACGTTCTCGCATCTTCTCTTTCTCCTCCTTCTCCTTCTTCTGCTCGGCAAGCAAGAACGACTTTAATTCCCTCTTCGCTTGATGCAACTTATCATATCGCTCCTCGATCGCATCGCGTATCGATGCGAATGTGAGCAACTGATTGATCAGACATGTGACGATCTTTATCTTGTCATCTAAATCGAGCTCGCAGACATTTCGGTGACCCAGCAATCGCAAGAGGCAGCCGTCATTTACCCTCAAAAGAAGTGCTGGTTCATCAAAATTCGTATAGCCGCCTACAACCAGGTTTTTTTTTATATAGAGAAAGTATATTGATATTAAATAGAATTGATGCTGAAGTTATACATACCTTTTTGAGAATATCGCCATTTTGAAGCGGCTTCGCTTATACGTCCTCCAGAGCTCAATACATGTTGTCTCAAAATTTCGCTTAGGGTTACGTGATCCAACGTGAGCTCTGATAACTTGCATCCCTGATAAGCCGGGCACCATCTAGAAGCCAACGTAGCGAGCTTAATAGCTTTCGTCATCGACGATGCGTCTTCGTAAGTGCTAACGTCGTCCAACAGAGTGGACGCTTGGGCATCGACTTCATTGTCTTCACCAGCCTGGTACTTAAATATATTCGACAGCAACAGTTGCAAAAGATCGCTCCAAGGGCCGGACGCTTCTTTGGTCAACAGTGCCTTCTCCAATAATTCCAAATTAAAGCCTCCCGGAAAGTACACAGGCACTTCCAATTCTTCGTTGAAAAATTCAAGAAACTCAGATATCATGGCGAAATCCCCGAACTTCTCGTTCGGTATGTTGCACTTGATAACAGTAGGTTCAGGAATGGGACTAAGATCTTCACACTCGAGGTCTTCTCTCGGCTTGTTCCACTGTTTCATGTACGCCGCTAAAGCCGCCAGCTTTTGTTTCTTCTCCTTCTTGCGCTCACTTTTTAGCGCCCTTTCTTCTTTACGCTTCGCCTTCTCCTCCAAAGCCTTCGCTTTAAGCTCCTCTTTGTACTTGCCATTCATTCTATTGACAAAATATTTTGGAGATATTACAAAATGTTAAGTAAATATCTTTTTTTAACGAAGCCTCAATAAACCCTTACCTTGGTTTCCGAAATTTCTTCACCACGCCAGGATCGTTCACTTTTTTCAGAGGATCCGCTTTCTGCAGTGCCTTTTGCTTCGACACGTTCGAGGTGAGAAACTTATCCATAGACTCTTGCTTCTGCTTGACCGACTTTTTCATACGCACTGTAAAATCTGGGAGTGTTCCGGCAAATATTGTATCAAAACGCACTTTGTTGATCCCATATTTTTCTAAAACACTTTCCTACGTAACAGTAAAAGAAAGAGTAACATTACGAGAGTGCACGAATTTCTCTGCACGGAGAAAATTTTCTATCAAAATTTGTCCCGAAGATCACGTGATACTGGAACAACATGGCATTTCGGAGAACTTTGAGAGCTTTTTGAAAGTTAACCAAATATTTTACTAGTAAAATGTATACTAAATATAATTAGTGTTAAAATAAATGGTAAGATTTCAAAGAACTCAAAATTCTTTGAAATGCCTTGCTGTCCCACGATTACAATAATTTCAGGATATATTCTAAAAGGAAATTCTCTCCATGTAGACGTTCAGTACTTTGTATTAACAATTTTGTATTAACCTTGACAACCCAAATACCGCTATCATTTTGCTCGCAGAGTTGACGAAGAAATATCTTGTTACGGTCCCTGCTGTAATGCTGCTTTCGTCTTCTAACCTGAGACGCTTCCACTATCATAATCTCACTGACGTCAGAGTCACCAGAATCTAATTGCTCTACCTCGTAACGAAATAACTTCGCTGGCGGATGATAATAATGTTCCTGTAAACTTCTGAGGCAACGGCACAGAGTAGAAATACACCCAATAAAATGAAAGGACTTAACGGTAATTGAATTGATTTACTCACCTGCCATTTTCGTTCATATATGCCTTAACTTGCTGTTCCGTGGGTACAATAACTTGAAGAACGTGGCAGTTGCACCAGGCGTCCTCGGTAAAGCTGGCCTCTACCATTTCCCCTACAAAGTAGCGGTCTCTCGCAAACTGGTAAACATCCTCGATCATCTCGTTGAAAGAAGACCTGTTTGTTTTACTGGCGAGATACAGTATAGGAATCCGCAGCTGAAAAAGAAAAATACGGGACACGCTTTAATTTTTACGAAGGATATCAACGTTGAGTCAACGTAGATTACGTAAAATTATACCGTACCTCCATTGGAAATTCTTTCAAGCTCCTCTTCGCATTTTCCTCGCACTGCAGAGCTTCCTCAAATGTCATATTGGTCTTGCCTGTGATACTGCACGACCATATGAGGGAGTTGCATAAGATGATCCGCTCGCAAAATTCACTGCAACGAAAAGCACGCAAATGTTTACCGCAATTTAATTCACGTGAAAGAAAATCAATTAAAAAATTAACTTGAATTACTAAATTCTCAAAATGTACACACAAGTTTCGAAAGACAACCAATTAAAGTCAACGATTAAAAAGTTTTTACTTTTTAATGAAAACAAGTCAATTCAATAAATTTGTACGTGCTTATACATTCATGTATTGTAATCGTATCTGTTAAATTGTTCACACGTGTCTATAAAAATCTTACTGCGTGAAACAACAATAAGGAGCAACAAGGAACAACGATTCGTCTTCGCTTATCATTATCTACCGCACAATTGTCGATGCAAATAATGTAAATGCAAATCTTTAACATCGACCGAGTGGACTCTTATCCGAACAAAAAAATATCTACGATTTAAAAAAGAAAGTCGCCTTTGGCGGAACAACACGGTGTATTGAGCGACACTCTCAAGTTACCGAGATGACGATAAAAAAACTCTGGCGTTTGTCAACGTAATGCAGTAACCATAGATGCGGGTAATAACCGTTTCCCCGAGTTTGCCGATCGTCAATTCGTTTTCTCAAACTCGCGTTTTCTCACTTTTGAAAGTATTTCAGTATTTATACACAATACAACTAGTAGGTTCGCTTCGCCAATCGTTTCGTTTCGCGTCTACCCCTTCTGCGCATCCGACATTGTTCTGGGCAGACCAATGAGAGAAAAGTCGTACGTGTGGTAGTGTGGCTTTGACGAGTACGTTCACACACACACGCACACGTCGTTGGATTCTGCCCGAGTACACGGCGGAATAAAACGTGATCGGGACCGCAGAGATCAAAGGGGTTGACAGAAAGTGGACCTACTAGTTACGCTACACGGGAAGAAATTTCACTTAAAATTCACCCTGAAAATCATGTAATCGTGGGACGTGGCATTTCGAAGGATTTTATGAGGTTTTTTTTTAATTTTACCATACATTTTACGAGGGGGAAACCGCTGGCCAGAATCTTGTACACCAATGCCCACTAATGCCCATTACTTTATCTTACAATTAGTGTCCTATTTTATCTTTATAATGCTCAAGCAAGGCCCAATGCCCAAACTAATGCCCCAAAAAAT